TGAAAAATAAGAATCTGAGCAGCAGCAAATCTCCCACTTACTGAACACTAAGTGTCAGACATTGGGTTAACTGCTTATGCAGCACCTCATTTGCTCCTGGCAACAACTGTGAAGTATGTTCCATGATCATCTCAATTTCTCAGAGAAGACAATCGAGGTTCATAAAGATTCACAACCAACTCTGTCTACCTTAAAAACATTTGCTGTTAGCCCTTGGTCTGAGACTAAAAGACACTTTCTCAATAAATTTATGGAAAAAAATTAAAAAAAAAAAAAAAGAAGACACAGATGTTCAATGACCCAAGTGTCTCCAAATACACCTCATTGCAGCTGTGCAAAAGTGGGATAATAAATACATTCCCTGTTCACTGCCCAGGACAGGCAGGTACTCAATGAATGCTCATCCACAAAGTGAATTGCAATCACATAAGGACTCAAGTATCCCCTTCCCTGTACCTTCCACAGATCCACAAGGCCACAGGGGCCTCAGTACCCAGCATCCATAGCAAACCTCCCTGGTAGACCCATTCCGTGCGTTGAGGTTTGGCCGTTGGGCCGAAAGGGATGCAACCCCTCTCCTCCCTCACCCGTCCGAATCAATATTCCATTGGCTGGGGCGCCGAGGGCAATCACAGCACACAATACAAAGAAGGGAACCAGAGACCTAATTCAATGGACAGACTTAGCTGGTGCTTCCGATATTTTCCAGGGGTCGCAGCCCCCTCTTGGATAGGCTCTGGCAAACACTTCCTACCGGTCTTCCAAGCGCTCTTACCGGTACTGCTAGAAAACCTGCAGAGACTGAAGCCAGGAAAAGGCGGGCAAAGTTTCTTTTGATAAGTTATGAATGGGGGAAAAAGTGTTTGTAGAACTCATTGTTAAAATCTCAGAACCGGAGACTCGGGCGGCGTTGGGCCAATCGGAGCCTGGAGGCTATTTTGAAATCGCTCTGGGAGCAGCCAATAGACTTGCGGAAGGCGAAGACCCGGCCCTCACCGGCCAATGAGCGCGGTGCTATGCTGAGGCTCAGGGGCTCTGCCCTTCTACTGTCAGCGGGTTAAGATGGAGCCGGCGGCCAGGAGGACGCCACGAGGTGCTGGGTCGCACGGGTGGGGACCTCCTGCTCACCTGCGTCCCGCTTCTGCCCTGAGCCAACAGCTGTGTCTTCGTGAGTAGACGGGCCTGGTGTAGGGGGCAGACAGTTCCACGGGCCGGATGCGTGGAAGGGCTTAGGAGGATCTCAGTTCCTCTGAGCAGGGAACTCCAGAAGGGCGGGAAGCCCCTTCTCAGCCCTGGGCCGCTGGCAGAAGAATCTGCTAAGACGGGGTGGGGGGGTGGGGGGGGTGCATGCTCAAGGTCAGGGACCAAGGATGGGGTCCTGAGCCGGAAAGGATGCACCGTCCCGGGATGGGGCCACTCTCACGGAGGAGCAGGCCGAGTAAGGGCTCAGGGTCGTTGGGCTTTGCTCCTCGCGTTAGCGGGCTTCAGACTGCGCTGAGCGCGGGCCCTCTCCTTTGTGTGCGCGCCCCTTCCCCCCCCACCCCACCCCGTCTGACCAGCCAGCCTTCTCTCCTGGGCTACAGTCTCTCCTCCTCCACAACTAGAAGCATGCTGCAGAAGGCTTGGGTGTCCTGAGGTTCTGAAGACCCCAGGACAGCAGCCCTGCTGCGATCCCTTCTCAGTTTCATAGTGAACAGAGACTCTGGTCCTATTTACCTCTGGGAAGTTGAACTTCCTGCCCTGCTTGTATTGAGAGCCCACCCTCACACCCACCCCCGTTGGCTGCAGGTGCTCTGACGAGATTGCACTACTGTGCTCTGAGAAGCAGTGCAATGATATTGTCAAAGCATCTGGGGCTAGCCTTAGGGATACCCTTTACCCACAAGGCCTTCTTTCCTCTTTCCAGGATGGTCCCCTGGGGCTTGCAGGCCCTCCCCCTACCCCTGCCCAGTTCACTCCCTTCTCCATGGAAACTTGAGACTCTAACCAGGACTGGGCCTCAGAGGTCAGAGGGCACCCTTCCCCCATGCTGAGTGAGGCCCTGCCCAGTGGGACTGCATTCCACCTCTCTGATCCCACCCACCAGGACCACCAACACTATCACCACATGGAGAGGCATTAGCAGGCCTGCCCGACACTCTTTCCCTGTTGCACTACTGTGGGCCACTGGGAAGCAGTGCAATGATGAAAGGGCATCGGTCAGGCCCCCTGACCACTGTCTACAGCGCTTAGGGGAAGAGAGCATGAGTGCAAAGCAGGACTGGGGCCTCCATCAGAGGATCAATGTGTCCTTGGAATCATTCCCTAAGTCGCCCATCCAGTTATGACTGAAAAAACAAAGACAGAGCCCCCAGACTCAGAAAGACTGTGGTTTGAAGATCTTTCCCCAGGGGCACAGGTAAAACTAGGGACTCCAGGGCTTTGTGGAGAAATAGAGGCCCACTGCTTTACATGGAGGGGCTTCCCGTACTTGGACTCAACTTTCTCAGAAGGCTTGAAGAGGACCAGGCTCAGGAGAGAATTGTTGGTCCAAGCAAAGACCTTTGAAGAAGCAACCTCATGGATCAGTCACCATGGGGCTCAGTGGGAACAGAACTGCAGGTAAGGCCAGCAACCACATCAGCTTGTACTCTTACAAAGACAGTGTGTATGTATCCTGGCAGGGGTGACTGGGAGGTGTCTGGCATATCTTTCAGCTGAATTTGGGGTGGGCTGGGGCACAACTTCTAAGGAACCTGATTCTAGGTGTGCTTGCAGGACCATCTTTACCATCAGCACCTGACACAATGTGCCCAGTTGCAGTCATTCAAGACTGTCTTCTTGAGAGCTCAGGTGTGCAGAGGGGCTTTTGCAGACCATGGAATGCTGGCCTCAGTCCTATCCCTTGGTATAAGGCCTGGCACTCATGGGGTATGGGGATGACAATCAACAACAGGTACATGCTCCTCTGTATCCTAGCCCCTTGGGGCTCCTCAATCCCCATTCTCTCTTCCCCTGGGCTCCAGTGGCCATGGCTGGAGCCAGCCACCCTTCACTCCTGTACAGATCACCCTCTTGTTGGGGAGAGGCCAGCATGCCCACCTAGAGGGTGCCTGTCTGGACTCTGGCATCAAGTGTTCTTCCCCCAGACCCTGTTACACTGTCACACTAGTTTTCTCCCAGTGACTGGAGTCCCCATTATGAAGGCAGAGGCCATGTGGAATCTTTGTTGTCTTGTTTTTGTTTGTTTTTAAATTTCTTTTGGCTGAGCATGGTCCAGAGATGGGACTAACATGCCCTGAACCCCAACTCTGGCCTCAAACCCCATCCACACCCCAGGCTGATGATGGTGGGATTGCAGAGTC